TATATAATTTGACAGGTCCTCTTTTGCTTTATTCAAGGGTATTATCTCTTTTTAAGCAAACATAAATTTATCGGGTATATTTTTTAAACAAGAAATATAGTTTAAGTTTAAGTATGCTTTTTACAAAATAGCCATATATTTTTATAAATTTCTTCTAATTCGGATAAATTTCTCTACATGGTATTAATAGATTTTAGGCAAACATAAATTTATAGCTTAAGTTTAAGTATGCTTTCTACAAAGAGACAGCTCTCGTAAATTTGACAGTAAATCTTCAGATCTAAGAGATAAGAGGGTCATGCTTCCTACAAAGTGAAGCGTAATGGTATAAATTAGTGTATTAACAACATCTCCCTTATCAACTATATTCTCTTGGTCATGTCCAAGTCCTATTTTAGTTTTGATAAGCCATTGTTTAGTGGCATTTAGGATTTGATCTTCTGCTGTTTCATCCATATGAAAATCCCACTGACCTTTAAGCCATTCTGTAAAACCGCATATGATAGCTTTGGCACTTTCATGGTCTTTATTTCCACTTGCTTTACAAGTGGTAGCATACATAATCATATTTTTTATAAGGTCAAGAGAGCAAACGAAACAGAAGTAGAAGATGAACAAGACACTTACATGATAGACTTATCCCAACGGAGTGGTATCTAGCAGGTCCTCTCCTAATCTTCAATCAACTGAACCACTCTAATATTTAATATATCTGATCTTACAAGCACACGAACACTCAAACTGATCTTACAAGCATACTTAAACTTAAACAGATAGAACTCACAAACTGGAAAGAACACCCGATGCTTTCTCCTTCGATCTTCCCTCCTTATATAGAGGAAGAAGGCGGACTTCAAAGACGGACTTCAAAGCATTTAATATTCGCACCGACATCTTTTCAAAAAGCAAGATTCTTTTTAGCAAAGTAATATTCTCTATAGTGAAAGTTTTGTCGGTTGCAATAATGTTGTTTATTTTACTGTAGCTTTTGGGACACGTGTCTTGAGTGGATTTGGAGTCCTACTGTCCCTATGTTTTAACTTAGTGGGGAGAAGGTAATTCATGCACAGTCATCACCATTTGGTGGACTGTAATCTTATGTCTCTTCTTCTTCTTTCATAGACATCTTATCAACATCTTCTTCCGAGGCTAAGAGTATAGTTTCCACGATATTCTAAAAGAGTTCAAAATAAAATGCAAGCTCAGAGGGAACCTTTGATTTTTGAGTTAAAAGGTGAAATAAATGAAGTTCGTATTGAACTAATAACCTTGAAAAGTAGGGTTCAAATCCTAGAAATGGCAACTACTACTTTTAATAATAATGAAAATCATAATGCAAATACTGAAGAAGAATTCAGTAACCTGATAAATGATTATAATCTTCTACCAGCTGAAGCTGAAAATACTCTGCCTAAAGTTTTAGAAGATGATGATCTTGAGACTTCGACCAAATGTAATATGTTAGAAAAAATACAAAACTGTGAATATATTAACCTATTGGACAAAGTTATAACTTAGAGATGGTAGACTATTGTCAAGATAGTGGCCCAAAAAGAATATACTTTCCAAACGATTGCCCTTATCTGGAACTTTGAGTATGCAATTTCAGAGTCATAAAAGATATCAGTTTGCTACAACTGTGGAAAGGTAGGACATTATAAAAATAAATGTAGAATTAAAAAGAAAATTAATGCACTAGAAATAGACTTAGATATTAAAAAACAATTATTTGATATTCTATTAATAAAAAGATATGACTCTGATGAGTCTTCTACCTCAGATGATGACATGTTAATTGGAGAAATAAATGATGAAGATTTAATCTTCACCAGCTCGGACTCTGACTGTATGTCCATTTTAGTAACCAAGGAATTCTTCACTTTGAGTGTTAGAAAAAATAAGAGTATGTTTATGCAATGAAAGGTATATATGTTGTTTCAAGAAACAGAGTTTTGTTGAGCTGATTTAATCCCAAATTGTAAAAATAAAATTAGCATAACCAATTTAATTTTATCAGCTCATATGTCTCTTTTGCTTTTACTTTTAATTTTTTAACAG